GATAAAATCAAGGAGAACAAGAGCGATTTGACAATAACAAACTGAATAAAGTCAGCTTATAGCATAGTGACAAGCAGATCGTTCACTCAAAATGTCTCATAGTGCGTTCAAACGATTACTTCAAAAAAAGTTGGTTTTATTCCACGAGCATTTTTGCTCGTCGTACTTATGACCGTTTACTTGTAAAAGTAAACCAACGAATGAATCAGTAAACACATAAATTAGTTAATTGCTAATATCAGAAGAGTTGAAACTTTCACGGTCTTAGATAAAAATAGTCGTTTGGGTAAATTTAATTGCGTGTTGAAGGGAGTCGTGAATACATCAACGCATTTACTAACATTTATGGATAACGATAGGATTTCACTGCTAGGATAAGTGATTGCACAGATCGAAATGAACATAACTGTTGATTGATCAACAGAAAAATTGATCCGTCAATGAAGCTGTTCAATAAAATTTGATCAGTCGTAAATCATCAATTCTGTACGGCCATCAATCGTAACTGTTGGAATGCTGATCACAGCGCTCAACGACGAGGTCCACTAACTGTTCCCTGCTGTTTGAGAAGATCATAATTGTTTGAAGGAAGACTTATCTGTCCACTTGGTTGTCCTCAAATAATGATAATACCTGAATAATTCCGACTGAATCGCATGCACATCTCTTAACCCTTTTTTCTCTGAACTACTTACTTACAAATTAATTTACAGCATCATTTCTCACAGCAATCTCACCGTTATTAAAGTTGATATGCTACTTAGTTATTTCCTTCCACACATCATAACATACCGTACTTTCATTACTTAAATAAAACGGATTTGATAGTCATCAACCATATTTGAGGGATACATATGTTATAGTTCCGGACAAGGTGGAACCATCATTGAATTTTCTCTTAATGAATCGATTTATATTAATTTATAGCAACTCATCCAAAAGGTTTTATCGAACAGGAGGAAACATATTTATTTCGAAAACAACTGTAGAAAGTCGATGCAGTCTTCGAAATTAATAACTGAGTTCATTTGTAACGAGAGTCGACTGACTCGTGAAACTGATGACAATATCAGTGATGGAATATGACAATGATGAATAATATAAGTGATGTTATGAATGTAATTAAACCTGAAATTAACAAACTGATATGAATGGGAATATGACGATGTGACATTGGTATATCATTCGGTTTCGTGACATTAGTATACTATTCGGTTTCGAACAGAAGATTCTTCCGCTATTGGGACTCGAACCCTTCAGATCATCCAACCGAAAATTGATGTCACGGGTTCAAGCCTTCTTGTATAGAACAGTTACTCGAAACCCCATGATGTAACAAGGCTAATAGTGCTATCTAGCCTTACAATTAGACAGGCTATGATTTGTTTCTATTATGAATAAACTAAAACTATTATAGCTAAGTAGTCATGGATGGGGCAAAAAAACTGTTGAATAAATAAGCAGTGGGTTTCTACCCGACTGCCGCTCGTTAACAATCAGTATCCAATGAAATGGAAAACGAAAAGGAAATGACCTGATCTCGATAATTTCATCGGCAAAGTACCCGCCAGTAGTTAAAAAACAGTTCCTAAACCGGAAAATTACTTATATTCATCAAACAAAAACTGTAGAAAAACAGTGAAAAAGTGATCTTATTCGATGTCGTTAATATATTCATTCACTAGTTAAGATCTTTTTTTTTTCTTCCAGTGTACAAGGACAATTTTTATCGATGTGAGATCAATGAGGATATAAAATTATCGAATAATTAAGATCCATTAGTTGAGTGAAAACTTCAGAATCCATTAGTCGGATGAAATTCACAGGTGATTTTAAAAAGATTTTTCAGAGACACTCTTTTTCGGAAAGGAAAACTGGAACGGAACAATTAATGTTGGTTGACGTCGTTATTTTGAAAGTAAAAAATTTCAAAGGGCAAATGTTATTTCGAGCGGAAATTTGTGGCCGAAAAAAATATTCGTCTCTGCCAAAATACGCGACAGAAATCCTGTCAGCATCCAAAACTTTTTGTCAGCCATACTACGGAGCAGTTTTCTCACAATATTTCGGTGCAATATTTCTCGAAGATCAGCTATTTTCGGTCGCTCCAAATCGATCACATACTAGTGATGGTAACGGAACCAAGTCTGAGTTTAGATCGGCTGGAGCAGTTCGATTCTGACCGCAATCAAAGTGTTCAAAATTCGGAAATTTGATATTCCCACTGGACTTCGAAGTTCCTTGGTTGAAACCCAAACTTCGATGCGTTATTTAATCCATACATCATTCATGAATATGATTATTTGATTTGATAATATGCTTTCAAGTATCTGCTTGTTCATGCTAATGTTTATTGCTTTTGAAAGAAGTCTCGATGACTAAACTTCTGGACCTTCAATAAAACCATGAACAAAATTACTGAATCTTTTCAAACAGTTAACAAAGAAACGATCTTCAGCACAGTTGCTGTACGACTAGGTGATATTTAACTAGAACTGTTCGAAGAATGCAACCAAATAATTTCGATTACATGGCAAACAAATCCAATAAGTTTTATACACAAACAACTCACGAAATATGATATTTTTGCGATATAAAATTGAATTATTAGAGCTGAAGTTTACAGATCATTTAAGTACAAAATTGCACGATATCAAAATTGCATAAATGATCCAATTGGTGATGTTTCTGTTCCAAACAAGCCTTTTTCGCGGTTCACGTCCGTGAAATAGAAAAGAACAGCGAAAAAAGTGATGCATAGCAGAAAGGAACAAATTTCAAAAATGAAAATGGAAAACAGAAAGGAGCAGAATAATTTAAGGGACAGAACAGAACAGTGCTGAAATATTAGGATGCCGGGACAGAGAACAGGACAATTGAAGAGCGAAGCAGTTGAGGACAGTACAGCCTGGTGAAAGGTTGGAACAAAAACATCACTAGACCAAACATCCTACGAATTGACTGCTGTAATATTAGGTCTGGCAGAAAGTTCTGAGCCAGTTACGCTGGCGAAGTGATATAATGGAACACTGCGTTTCATCGTAGAGTTCCTTTATCTAGTGCTATATGTCGTAGCTCATTTTCCGCACTATCTGAATATATCCGTAATTGGTCTTCATTCTTTCAATTTGAGGACTTCTGAAGCATTAAATCCAAGCTATGGATAAGAAAATAATTCGCGGAATTATGCCTCATGGATTCAAACTTGGTCGTTCGAGCAGGTGGGCGACGGCTAATATCAACAAAGCATTTAGGGGCGGAATCACTTCCAAATCAACAGTTTGGGGTTGGTTCAAGAAGTTCGCTGCTGGAGAAATAAGTCGTGAAGATGAACTGAGGTCAGGTGGCCCTTCATACCACAACAACAACGAATTGAAAGAGGTGGTGGAATCGAACCCACTCAGTCTCAGATGGCAGACAAACTTGGTGTCTGCCGAAGAACTATCTCAACCCACCAACGGCACACTGAAAAGGTCACGATGTTGGATCGGTGGGTTCCACATGAGCTGAACGAAGCGCAGCAATTCAGGCGTTTGAAAATTTGTTCTTCACTGCTGCTGAGAAACAATAGTGATCCATTCCTTGATCGAATTGTTACCGTGGATAAAAAGTGGATTAAATATGATAATCGGCGAAGGTCGGCTCAATGGCTGGGTGTAGGTGAGACGCCAAAAATGATGCTGAAACCGACACTACCATCCACGAAAAATCATGTTCATCGTTTTCTAATGTACCACAGTTGTCGTGCACTTCGAATTGCTTGGACGTGGGCAAACCATTTACGCCGAGTACTACTCTCATACAGTCGAGATGGCAAGGGATCAGTTGTTGAGAAAGAGGCCAACACTGATGAACAGAAGTGGTCCGATCCTTTTACGGGATAACGCCAGACCACACGTGTCACGAACAACGTTGCAAAAAATTCACCAATTGGGTTTCGAGATTCTGCCTCAACTGCCTTACCCTAAGGACCTCTCGCCATCAGATTATCATCAGTTCAGAAAATTCGAACTTTTCTTGCAGGGGAAAAACTTCCGTAATCAGCTCCTACTAAAACTTGACGTTCGTCGATTTTTTGATTCCAGGGATCCATGTTTTTATGCTGCAAAGATGAATGCCCTGATTTCCTGTTGACAGCGTTGTGTAGAGGCGAACAATTTCTATTTTGAATAAAAATATTGATTTTGAGCCGAGTTATGAAACTTTGAAATTTTGGGTCTAATTGGCCAGGAACTTTCTGCCATAGCTAACTATAAGAATCTTGCATTACTGAATTGCTGTTCAATTCAAACGATTATTGATGGCCATAATTTGCAGCATATCTTTCGCAACATTCTTTCGCAGCCATTGTGAAATTCTTTCCAACCTCTCGATCTCTCATTCCTGGAAGATGCATATATATCTTATAGATTCACACATATCTTTCAACAGTAATCCTCCGTTGTTGCGANGTTGCGAGGATGGGGGACTTTCGGGGACTCCGGCCTTGTCCTTGACTTTTTTCGAGCCGAAGACATTTTCGAGGTCCTCGGCTGCAAAATTTCGTCCACAATTTTCCCTGTCCCCGCAACGCAGCATTCTCCGGTACTTTCCAGGATACTAACATCACACTTGCGGGAATTCGTTTTCGGGAATATTGTGCAATACTGATGGCATCCGACCGACGATTGGTTGGTCGGAATCCAGACTGTGGAAACTCAAAATGTCAATTCGGTCGTATTCCGACTGAAAAATTCCGATAGTCGGTCGGACTTCCGACTGTCGCAAAGATGGAATTTCATATCGATTGTATTCTGGACGACAAAAAATTTCGCTAGGATGCCATCAGTACGATGCAGTATCCGATCCGAGTCGATAAACACCTTTGTGCAGGCATTTCAGGTGCTTTCAGCTTGTTAAGTGCGCTCGTTCAAGTGTGTCGGATATCAGTATGAATAAATAAAAGCCACTGGTCAAAAATGATACAGTCCCTTGATAACAGCAATAGACGCAATGAATATTTAACCACACTGATATATACCTGGCATATGACCACTGTATCCTGGGATCGGCACGCGACTGAAACCCTAAATTTTAAAGTGATATTAATATTCAAACCATTGCTGGTACTGAATAAAGCCATACAAACAGTATTGTTATTAGCGAAGACGTAAAATTCGCAAAAGTTCATAAAAGTTTGCTGGTTCAATTATTTCTTGCATGCATTCCTCCAGCCTCAGTCTCGAAGGGACCACAGTGCAAAATAATTAAAACACACCTTCTGTGAAGTATATCGCGAGCCAGAACGTGTTGTAACTGTCGAAATGCCGGTTTTTACACCTCAAACAGCACTTGTCAACCTTCAGACAAAGCTTTTGCAATTTAGTGCAAAAAATTGGAAAGAAGTTTAAGAAGCGAAAACTTGATGATGTCAAACATGTTTATTGAAATATGACAGTTAAAACTCATTAAAACTCTCTCGATCAATTTAATTACAAAATATTTGCGAAAAGTTTCGGCATTTTCACAATCTTTCTCTGTACGGTGTCATTATGCCCAATGAAATTAGTGCTATTCCTTTGATTGACTCACTTTTTAAATCAACCGAATTTAGAGCGGTGTGAACTGAAATTTCGTAGTTTGAGTTCCTACTGTGAGGAATTTCTGGATTTTCCGATCGATGCGACTGCATTGTGGTACTTCTGAGTTCAGCCGCTGATTCCGATCTGAGAGATCCGTCACTAGTTATTTCACTATGAGCTTCGTGTTCGCTAATCGCATTTACCATCTGTGGATTTGTATCATTTAGCTTCTTAAAAAAGACAAATTTATTGTTCGGGAGTTTCAAAGTAGACTTGTATGAGATTGTAACGATTAGTCGGGTTTCCAACTAATGTTTATTCGCTTAATCACCTCAAACTTGGGTAATTAAACCACGGATTAATACAAGCACGTCAATTATTTGAGAATATCAATCGCTCAAGATATTCCTAGCTTATGTGGTCATTTAAATAATAATGATATGACAATGATGTTGTTAAAGAATAATCGTTTACGATATAATCAGATATAATAATACGAACTAATCAATTAGAATGATCAAATAATAAGCATCGAATAATAATNTAATAAGCATCGAATAATAATAATTATTATGATAATGATAATAATAATATTCATAATATCGATCAAATAAGAAGAACTGTGATTATGTTAATGATTTTGGAAATAATAACAAATAATAACAAATTCATTTGTGATCGTATTATCTTTTTCAATGCTCAAAGTTATCGAGCATTGAAAAAGATAATACGATCACAAATGAAGATTTCGCTCCAACTTCATCCTTTTATACCTCAGGATGATAGGCATGGTGGTTTCTGATTTCCAACAATTGTTTTGATTTCCAACAATTGTTTTTGATTTTCAATAATTGTTTATTTTATTGTGATATTTGATAGCTATATTTTGTGTGAAAATATAACTTAAGCCTCTGTTGCGATGCTTGAAAATTGAGGTTGTTTATATTCGTTGTTCCTTGGTGTTGATTCTGGGTTTGAAGTGATCTCTGGTTAAGAGTGCGTTGCGATTCATATTTCATGTGAATATATAACTTTACAAAATCGGCATAATCTTTGGTAGCTGATCGTCGCTGATTTACAGCGATCAATTAGATATCTTTTTCATTTACAGTCGCGATAATCGCGACAGAGATTCTAGCATCAAACTTCATGTGTCGAATAATCGCAGTCACCACATCCCCTACCTATGCAAAGTGAAAGATTGTAGTCATCTACTTATAGTTTCAAAAGACTGATAGAGAACCATTTTTGGCCTCTATTAAAATACACACCCGTGTTTCAACCGTCAGCTATTATTTTTTAAATATCACCTCAAGAAATTCGCCTTCGGCGGTAAGTTGCGGTTTTCGTGGTTCTGAAGCAGCACTCACTGGTCTGTTTCCATCAGTTGCATTCTCCTCGGCCGCTGACACATGTGAGATTTTCAAATGTTGGTCGCCCACAGTAGTTCTGAATAGAACTCGCAATTCATTCGATGAAAGATTTCAGAACAGTTAAGGATGTTTTATGCAAGGATTTCTTCTCTGACGCTCTTTTTAAAGTAGGGGTAGGTTTTCCTTACAAAATCGTTCATTCAGAACAAGCGAAGTGAAGTATCCATCACATTTCAGATGCGACGAAAATGATATACCGTTGTTCAACTTGAGACAGGAATGCGCTAGTTTGCGATTTACCCACTTGCCATTTCTCACCCGGGATGTGCCCAGAGTATCCTAAAATTGAGAAATTTTCATCGCATTTCAAAAGAGTAGATGAGAACAACTGTTCCGTGAAAACGGAAACTGATGGAATTATTTTCTTTTTTCAAATTGTTCGATGAATTTACAAGAAATACTCTCAAAATGTTGCAATACAACAACTGAATGACAACTTAAACTGCTTATGAACATAAACTGATCGAAAAATTGGAATGATTGAAATCAGATAATTGTAATTTCAGGATACAAATGCTTGAAAATGCCAAACTTTTTGACATCAGCCAAAGCATCCCACCTGATGACGGAGCAAACGAGCTCGAATAAGACATTTTTCAAAATGAGCAAGACGTTGTGCTTCCTCCTAGTTCACCATAAACATACAGCTTACCTCCCGTCACGTCTCCAATGCCCAATCAATCACCGCACTTATCCATAGTAACATGATTGATTGCTTCCTCTGTTGATATGACATTCTATTCAATATCCTAGGACTTTCGGACGCAAAATATTTTTTCTATACAGCGAAATAAAAGAAGATTCAAAAACGTTGAAATGTTGTCATTGAGTCGGCAAAACACATTTCGTATCCATGCAGCTGTCTACACCATTGGCTCGACTATCAAAGCTACGGTAATCAGATGCTTATTGACTGCTTCCTTTTATTGAGATTCCCAGGTGTTGAAAACACTGCAAACATTGAAAACGGATGCATTGGTTGGTTTCGATCACAATTTTTGCTTCAGAAAACGAGACGATATGAGAGCCATCCAAACTGCTTCATTATTTGTTGCTGGATATCAAAGTTTTGGCTCAATTCAAGGTAAAGAGCTCATCACTGCTGAAATACAAAACTGAAAGAGCTGATCGCTACCGAACATGAATTATTACTGGTTGCCGATTATAAAAACCGCATGACGAGAGAATAAATCGCATTAGTTAATCACATAACGTTTGAGTAAGTAAGAGACAACCACCAAAAATAACGCCTAGATATGTTTTCAGGCATTTACGAACTGTATACTTCACATCACCAACAACCAATTTTTTATTTCAATCGTATGTTTCTCTTGACTAAATCACATCACATTGAAAAACAAAATGAGATAATCAAACACATTAATGCATTCCATACAGAACATTAGAATTTACTAAAATGTTACACATTAATATATCCACATCATCCCACTATTTTATATAATAACTATAATCGGATATAACCGTGAGAAAATAACACTCAATATGAACTAGTTCCATTGTTACTGATGCTAATGAACGATGATCGCCAATATCATCTTTGGCTAATAGCTGCTGGGACAATGAGATGTAGTGGGGAGGCATTGAAGTGGTTGCCACCTGAGGATTTTTGAGTGCTTTCAAGTGCTTGATGAACGATTGCATTGCACCTGACAGCAGTTATCTCTTCGATGAGCAGACGTGTAAGGTTTATTTTAAGGACCCGCATCCTATCAATAAAAAATAAAATAAAATGTTTCGAAACTGAAGCAACCCCAGATTCATAACACTTTAGTAACTCCTTTTCGTTGCTTCCATTCCCTTTCGATATCAGCTCTTTAAGTGTAAACTTCTTTGGTTAAACGTTTCTGAATGCTATCTCACCGACAGGTGTAGACCATTCCAACTTAGACAACTGTAACCTAATTTCTTGAACATATCTTGCAAAAATTTTACTCCATAACCATCAACCCTTCGTTTGCAAGCAAAGCTATAAACAACCAGCATTTGTCTCCTTCACCTGTCATACTTATTCCTCTTAACTCAACGTCAACCTATCACTTAATATAGTTTAAATCCACACTTCTAGACTACTTCAATTCCTCAAAAATAATCCTTCCTGTGTAATAATCATTACAGCACTCTTTCTGAAGCAGTCAAACTGTGAAACACTGAAACGATGTCCTTATTGGAAAATTAGATGTTTCGGAGATTAGGTGACTTGAGATCATGAGTTAGTGATCGATCGATTAAACCGAAGTATGCAAAGCAGTTGTAAAACTAAACAGCATCTTCACTGCTACATATAATCTCACCTGATCCTCATAAGCATTTCTTTAGGTATATCTACCTAAACTTAGTTGTTCTCCCTCTCCCTAGTGATGGCATCCGAGCGCAGTTCAGTGATTTCTCTGACAANTGAGTTTAATGGTGAACTTAAAATACACTGAAATAAAAGATTAATCCATTTCAGGGGATAACAATTGTTCAAAATGTCTATAAACAAACACATACACATTCACACGATAAAAAATCTGCAGCTATCCAGGACTGACTCCATTTTCCTCTCACAATCAGTACGAAGAACTTAAGGAGCCAAGGTTTTTCAGTGACAAGCTTGGTACCACTATTCATAAATTTCACGTTATGACTATACGATGCTGGCCTTTGACCTAAGTGCACCAGCAAAAAATAACGGCAAAAAAGTTAGTATTCCATTCTGTTGAAACGAGGGAAACAACATCATTCTAAGGAATAGAATTAAAACCACCATTTAATCTATTTTCATTACCATCGAACCTGAATTTACCAGCGCTCCAGTTCATGGGTTCATACCGTTTGACAGAAGTTTGCTCAGGATATATACACCGGTTGATAAACGCACTAACTGTTCGGTTGAATTCACATGGTAAGTCGAGGTTCCAATACATAAAGATTGAAATTGATAAATCTGAAATGCCAGTTTGGTCGGATTCCGACCGAACAATTCAGAAAGTCGGTCGGAATTCCGATTGTCAGAACGACGAAATGCCAGTTCGGTCGGATTCCGACTGATCAAGATTTTACTGGGATTAGATTTCGTCACTAATATGTGATAACCTCTCTATACCTTATACCGTCGAATGCAGGGACAATTGGGTGCAATCAGAGAAAAAGGCAGCTTGTATCGCTTGTTCAAATGATCTTTGCTGAGTCTTGATGCGCAAAGATAGGCATCATTCTGATATTTGCTTGGTACAATTACCAAACTTTAGTGGATTCGGAAAATTTTCGGTCGAAATTCCGACTGTCGGAATGACAAAGTGCTAATTAATTCGGATTCCGACCGACCAAAATTTTGCTCGGACCCCATGACTAGTGGCAAAACACTGTAATTGCAAAGAAGCGAGCAAATATCAACAGGTGAACCTCGGTTCACGTTTCTCAATTCAATAGGATTGCTGAATATGAACAGCACCTAAATAAGCAGCTACCCACTTCGCACGCCTCATGAGCGATTCTGACAAAAATCTTCCAAAAAGTGAGCACTTATTAAATTTGAAAACCATTAAACACTGTGCTCAGCATGCCACGAAAGGAAAACAAATGAAGGAGTTATTGCTTAGACACCATCAGTATATATTCAACACATTTCCATATTCCTTTACAACTGCGTTTTACCATCACTCAATTCTCTCGATATAGTGCAGTAATTTTTTCGCTTGAAACATTCAACCATGTGTTACACATTTTTGAACTTTTGTTATTCACTAATTACTGGAAGCACTAAGAGCAATATTTCATATACACATACATCTCCGTTTCAAATAAACTATTTTCAGGAAAACGTATTAAAAATTACGAAGAACTAATTCAAATTGCAATTAAGAGACAAAATAGTGATAGGAATAATCACGACGACATGATGACCAGACTCGCTCTTTCCAGACTCTCTTTCTTTCTCTCTCTATGCGTATATATATATATATATATATATATATATATATATATATATAAAAGCACGGACTAGTGGCGTGAGGACGAGGAAAATCGGGGACGAAATTTTGCAGTCCGAGACCCCTAAAATGCCGTCGGCTCGTAAAAAGTCGGGAACAGGGACCCCTAAATTTCTCAATCCCCAAACCACACTAATACGTGCAACACAAATACACCGAAAAACGAAATAACTCTTTCTATGTAATACATTACAATACCGTCTTACAAAACACCATTATACAATAGGCACATTTTGAAATATATATATATATATATATATATATAATTCTGAAAAATAATTCTATAAAACTGTAATAAACTATAAAAACAACAACACACACAATCACACATGGATAAACACAACCAAACCTACGAAACAATCAGCAAATGAGTTGTTTGTTTCACTCTGAACCATACGATGTCGACTAACTCACTATCAGAGAGTTAAGGGTTAGACAAAACAAAATTATTCAAAACAAAATTTCAGGTTACATCTATCGTTCAGAGTGGAAGTATGAAAAACGAAATGATATTAAAAAGCGATAAGAAAAGTAACCATAAAAAAGAGAAGGTAAATGAGAAGAAAGATGAATGAACGGAAAAAGGAAAGAAGAAATAAACTCAAAATCGTACTTAAAAAGACCCGTTAGAAGGAAACCATCAAGTTGAAATATCATCTTCATCAATCAAAAGAAAACACCGATTACAACAATCAGTGAAAACTGAATAGTTACCGAATAAAACGCCACTCTTACTCTCGTTTCAACCGAAAATATCAAACGTTTTCGTTGCATATTCGAACGTAAATTCGATTTATTTCATAAATTCACAATCAATAAAATGATTCAACTGAACAGTCGAAAAACCAATCATTTATCAATTAGCCAGTTGACAGCGTCGTATTCGTTGCATCTGCAATATGAACACGTTCGAATGAATCGGTTGAAAGTACGGCATTCGCCGCTACAACTGCCTCACCACCGTCCCTCGAAACGAACAGCTCCAAACCTTTAAATTCAACAATTTGTCGTTTGAAGAAAAGTTTAGAAATCTTCAAAACTCTTCAACGTTTATCACATGTAATATTCCGACTGCTTGAAAAGTTCGCACACATCGAACTTTTACTGCACTGGACTTGAATTTCAGGTATCATCCACAAAGTTCACTTCATTATATGTGATATATTTGTTGAATGAATATTGCATGCATCACATCATATATTAAAATTAAAACTGAGCAGAGCGAACATTAATTACGGTCTTATTACCATATATTTCCATCAGATCCCAAATCCTGTTTGAAATTCACTAGCGATTCTCAGGATAGGAAAACACTTTGAATTACTGTTCGTCGGGGAGCAGTTTTTCGCTAGGGGGGAGAGGGAGGGAGGGGGGGGGGACCCGCGAAAAAGTCGGGGAGCAAATTGCGCGGAGGGGGAGCGCTCCGCGCGTTCCCCGACGAACGCTACTTTGAATGATTCATTCCGATTAACACCAGCAGTAAAAATTCATCATGATATGAAAGGAACTGCATAAAAGGATCGTAACCAGTTCCACCGACCCCTACCAAGAACAAATCCAAATCTAGTCATTTACCAATTCATGCAACGATCACTCTTCAAACGAACGGGATAATACACAAACTCATTCATTCGTATAACCACATGAATACAATTCGAATGCGAATTGAAACAGAACAACAAATGCATAGATGAGCACACGTGTGGAACAATCAATGAAACACAATTATTCGAATAAATACCCAAGACCATACATCAATTTCAAAAAATAAAACGCCTTATTTATCCATTAACAAATTCTAGCCCCCGCGGTATTAATTACGAGACAACGCATTCAACATGTATGAATCAGCACTCCGACAGTTCCAAAAGAGTGGCTCAACCTTAGTCTTGTGATTAGATATATTAAAAATGCTTGACGTAGCCAAAGATGATACCATCTGAACTTTATTTTCTCACTTTAGGAACACGTAAATCTTCATGCGCAACTGAGGTCTGAGCAGTGTGATAATAATATCTCAACGCTCAAACGGAATTTCAACTACACCCTCACAAGACACACAGTTCGACCTAAACTAAACATAATACTTATAGCCAGATATACACTATGTGCCGGTATAACCGAGTCATACAAAAGATCAACTGTGAAATGGTGGGACCCTCCAATCGGGATCATTTTATTGGACACACTACACTATGTGAGCAGATCAGAAAACGGGAGCGTTCCACTGCGCTGAAACTGAAAAAGATTATATGATAAAATAGGAAGAATACGACATATCCTACCTCCACCACTATTATGCTCGTCTTGATCATCAATATTTGCAATCACAGTTTCGGCGAGCATCTTATTAATGAGATCCTCGGCATCCACCCTCGTTGCACTTACCCTATTTGATCCACCAACACATTCATCACCTTTACTCATCTGTGATCTAAAAACCTGTGCACGATATTTCTCCTCCTGTTAACGCTGTCCCGACAAATCGAATATATTAAATAGAAAATAACAGAAAAAAACTGCAATTGAAATGCAAGTGTCGAGTGACCTATTTAAAGCGATAAATTTTTCTGTTCAATGTAAATGTACTGATATATTCAACTACGAAATTTTATTTTAATTAGGTTAGAGTTAAACGGTGAAAGTGTCCTACGCTGTTGAGTCAGTAAAAATAAATATGCTATTCGCAAATATGTTGAATATTTGAGAATGTTTAAGAAATAGAAATTTACCCTAAACCCTCAATTATTCTCATTAAACGCAAAATATGACCCTGTTTATCGACTGATCGATTTGATCGGCTAACTGATCTACATAAAAAACGAAAATTCTGAGTCAGGTAGGGAACTGAAACCAATTTTTAATTCGTAAAATCGTGACACCATTCATCGGTGAAATTTGGTTTCTTCCTCATATCATAAAACAATCGGACAACATAGCTGAGGATGCATGAATTGAATAGTGCAAAATGGCTACGGACCTATCCTGACTAAGTCTTCTCGACTGAAGGATATTAGTGGTAATAACTGATCGCCGCATCACATCATTTGTTTGCATAATACCACTGCTATTAAGCGGTAATGAATTAAAAGCCGATACACCGTTATTTCGCTGATAACAACCGCTTTCTTGCATTCCCGTTGCTCCTGCATTAGCCACAGATGGCAGCGAACATGAACATAAGTCATCTGCAAAAACTTAACGTTGAAATTTGTACGGATTTAATATCATTCTCATGATATGTAACTTACGAACACATCCGTTAAAGCCAGGAAGCCGAACAAGTGCTAGTTATATATGATCGAAAACATCAATAGATAGAGCGATGAATGTGATACCTCGATAGTGCGAAAGATCTTCGATTGATGAAGAGTGGGTGGAATCCGTATCAGCAGTCGGTGGCTGCTTGCAGCTGCCAGGATTTTTTGAAGACGATGAATCCCCACGTGGTGCTTTACGATCAGCTGGATCAAGTAAATGCTCGCTACACTGTAGACCACCAATGCCAGGCACCTTGAATAGTGGATCTGCGCTCTGGTGACTCATCGTCACTTTTATTAGAAGCCTTGAATTGTCTTGCCGCTGATTAATTCCATAACCATCGAGTAGATACGACCGTTCAATACCTTCAGTACCCGATGCCGCGAACTCGGATAAATTTATATCAACGAAACCAAGCTTTTGATATGCTTTACCACCTTTTTGCTCCTGCAGTAAAACTGATTTAGTCATCATCAAGCAGAACAACCAGCTAAAACATAGATTCACATCAATAATTCATTTGCTCATTCCGATGTGATATAACAGTGAACAAGCAGAGATGTAACGAAACTAAAAATAACACGTTATATGGGCAAAGACCGGTAAAATATTCACACCAAAGGTCTCGGTATAATTTCACGAAGAGACGAAACATGATGGTCAAGTTTTGTCTTGAATGCCTGGAACGAAACTGGGAAACATTGCTTTTCTTGAATGCCTTCACCAGACGAGAAAATTCCGGACATGAAGTTGTCTTTCGATGTACTCAAAAACGAGAATTATCACTTTTCGTTTCGAAGCTTCGGTGATGCTTCCATCCTTTGATAAAGAAATAAACGATATAAGTTACCAACAGCCCATAATTCTACACGGTTCAACAATTGAAATTTATCGGCAACAAATATGGAACGAAGTTGAACAATTCGTCAAAAAAATCAAACAAACGATTAGAACGGTTCACCTGAGGAATATAAAAAGAGAATGACCAATTTGAAATTAAAAACACTTGAAACAGGGTTTTCAATTAAATAATTCCAAAAAACATTCAAAGCTGATTTGCAAACACTTTTGAGAAAAGATTCGGCTATTTCAGATCAAAATGTGATCACCTACAGATGGTTTGAACTTGTTACAATGCGACCTAGTGATTAAAAATGTTACGTTATGATTTAGTGATCAAAAATGTTACGATGTGATCTAGTGATCAAAATGATAACCCTAATGATTACTTGTAATTTCGAATCGTTAGAAATTCGGTGGAAATTACTCGAAACATTTCACTTATTTGTAATGAATTACACAATAAACAAATAATTCATAGTTATTTATAATAAATATACTGAACAAAAATTCTGCATTCCAAAGGAAATATTGCTATTTCTCGAAATAATCGACTCGAGAAAAACGGTCCCCTTCTATTGAATGCAAAGTTATTATTGTATCGTCTACGCTCATTATTTCTAGTTGAAGTGAGAAATTTACTTCGACATATAGGTCTTCAATTCTCGTCGATAAATCATAGATTCATGAGTGGATATGCGTTATGGTTGGAACTCAGATCTTGACTGAGGTGAGATTATGTCTTTAAGATTTGTTTACTTGGTTTGAATTCAAATTTGAACACAGACTTCGAGTCGACCTATGGACGGATCAATAAACAAACGAACATGAACACAACTATTGCCAATCTGGCTCAAGAATTTCGCCAACCTTTCGAAGTGAGATTCTACAAGCGCATTTGTCAAGAACACCAGTTTCCGGAACAGAGGCTATACGACACGTGAAACTGAATTGTCGATTCCAGTTTGCTGAGTGATTCAATACCTCTACAGGCTCTGTTACTCCTTCGAATGTTCCTCCATCTAGAAGCCGAACCTGAAATACTTCAGCACTGCCATTAGATTTCGAAAAAGTATGAGATGATAACTTAGTTTGGAAAATGAACATTAAATACGTCGAAAACATAAGTTATCTAGCACCATTCATATATAAACATGCTAAACGCAATCCAGCACGTGAAAGTAGATCAGTAAAAAGGTGTCTCAGAAAATTTTTCAGTTTGAACCAGTAGTTTAAACGCTCTTCCAACTGGTCCTCCCCCTCCTTTGGCCATATGACAGACAGACCGTCATTTCCCCTTCAAGAATTCAATTAAGCATAAGTCCACCCTCCTCTGACAATCAACGTTACTTTTCAGCGAAAAATCAGAAGAAAATCAAGAAACTGATCCGGTAAGGAAAAAATTTACTGCCAAGAATTCGTCACCTATATGATGAGGGGAATGAGTTCCTTGCAACTGAACAATCATTTTGAAAACATACTGGACAACTATGGGAAGATTGTGAAAAAGAAAATCAGTCAACAATGATTTGCCAAGCTCTTCAATTTCTTTAAAGATGAATTTATCTTGCTCTCAGAACCACTGGTTTATGCAAATAGCAGATGCAATCAGATGATGAATGAAAACAACCTTAGCAAAAAGAACCGCATTGACGAGTGGAACATCGCTGAGATGTACAAGCTGTAAATCGACATTGAACTTGAACCGTTTACGTTTTAAGAAGGACATTTTAACAAGGTGCCATCCCCAGAATAGAAGAACCTCTGAAAAAAGTACTAGCTTTCATCATTTTTCAGTTTGAATGATATCACAACTGCCGCTACAAATGCAACTTCCTAATAAACATATAAATCATATCAGCGAATCGTCAGTTCGCTCATTTCTCGGACCGAAAGCCCGGGTATTCCACTTTCGCAATTATCTGAAGGAGATATTTATTAAGATGTAGACCAAAGGTTTCCCTACAATTTCCCTACGGCTGAAAAGAAGCGTTTAAAGTAGTTCGAACACCGTTTCAAACATATGTGTGACAAAAAACATGGCCACAAAAACGGAGGGTGTCTGATTTTCTTCAAGTGATTTGTACTTTAGGCAGAACGATGCATCAAGTGGGAGATATCCCCGTACCGATGCTTTTTTCTGGGAGGAGAGAGATCTCTTCATAAACTTGAAGTTCGTAGTAGAAAATATGGTACAAAAAAATTCCACCTGAAAACATCACACAAAATCGTAGTAAACGAAGAAACATCGCATCGAAAACCTGCTAAATTACAAAACTTCGATAGCATGCAATAAAATAAACTTGCATGCATTTGCTGAATGCATTAAATCGATTAAAGAATCACGCGGCATGGTGAAATGCAAACATTCAGTACGTCTTGTGCCACTAAGGCTGATCAGTTTTTGATATGAATGAACATTTGTGCTCACCAGATCTACCCATCTCTCCAATGATGGTAATAGATAGAATTTTTAACGGGTCACTTAAATTCAGATACATGGAGAAAATGAAATCATCAATCAATGAACGAATGAAATGGATACAAAATGGACTTAAAGATTGATTGTAATCGTTCATTTTCAATGGTTATCAATCATCAGCAGTTATAGCACGAGTTGCTTTTACTCTACAACGAAAAATTTTGCAATGAAAGGATGACATAATATGAAACGTCCAACAGAAAGCATGATGGACAGATTAATTACGAACAGATGTGATTCAAACAAGATGCGAACAAATCAATTAAATGATCAGCAACATATAACTCTGAATCAACTGTTTTCACTGGTACAATTGATTTTCGGTAGACGAAACATAAACATTTTTAGAAATTCTGTTTCTTCACAGAACGAATGACCTGAGGAAACAAACAATCCCAAATCACTTACAGATTCGCTTCTTCAAAGAAAACTCGACAATATAGACTTGGTCAGTAATAATACGAACCGTTCGCAACTATTGCTTTTTCGGGTGATGGATATTTAGTTCCTAACAAGTGGTCTCTTACAGCGTAGTTCCCGGCTATTCAGTCCCCATACTTCGTTTGGGTCCGATTTTAAACAGTGCGAACGCATGGTCACCATTTTGTATGCGTATTACGTAAACTTAGTGTATGTTGTATTGTTTGATGTTATTTAAGATTATGTTATTTTTATCTTGTTGTTCAATTGTAACGTACATTATCAATTCTAAATAAATCCTGAACTTAATATCACTCCAAATAATATATCTCCACATCAGACAGTTATTTTCTTCGAGGTGGAGATACCATGAGGTCAATCATACAGTTAACTTGTTCAGTAAGAGAGATCGGCTTATTCACCCTGCAATCTGATGATATTCACCAGCGGTCTCAGCTTGAGGTTTACCCCTGGATCCACCTTAGCTCACAGTGAAGCTCAAGCCGTGGTGTTGAGGCTCGTCCACAGTTCAGACAGTTACTTGCAGTACCGCTCCTCTCCACAGATGTGTTTGCCGCAACATTAAGGTTGTGAGAAAAATATTCTGTTGCAGTTTCATCTAATGAGGGCTGCTTCAGTGCTTGCTCATTTTATCTTAAAGCGAGACTGCATCACAACATAATACGTGAAACTGCATCACGACAGTTGAAAACTGCACGATTACCTGAAGCCATTCCAATGAGCTATGAACAAGAACGGATGGAAACAGGAATGGTTGACTGCTCTGACTGAACGCATATTCAGGAAGAGCCTTTGAGATCTCACGTCACTCCCCGCTTCAAAGAGCGTTCAATACAAACATCATCAATAATCCTTAACCACTCGTTGGAGTTGTATGCTTTCTCTTGTTACCTAGGTGCGATACGTGACCGCATCGAAACAAATGAAATTTACTCACGATCAGTGTGATTTTAGGAGATTATAATATACCATAGAACGCGTTTTGGAATCCACGCACAGAACGGTGAACATGCGTTCGCATTGCTCAGAATCGAACCGAAGTATGAGGGACTGAATAGCCGAGAACTACGCTGTAAGAGTACTAATCGTCAGAAAACTAAATATTGTAGACCAGTGGTCCCCACGCTGGGTTGCTCCGTTACCCCTTCGGTGGTTTGGCAGGTCGTCATTACCCCCCTTCCCGCTACATTACTCCTTCTCCCGTTCCACTAGGATATCTACGGTTTTGGTGGTTGTCTCCAATCTCGAACAGAAACATTCAATAAAATTGTCTATGTCAGTAGCGTCGAGGCTTGCTGCGTAGTGCAACGAGACCGGACATGGGCGACAGAGTTTCGAGTTTACTCTGTGTTGCGTAATTTTCCTCTTGGTTAACATTGAAAAATTTCAAAACGGGATCAATGAATGGTAAATCTGTGATAAGTTGACTGTTATTATCAACTAATGACTTACGAACCAATTAATCATCCTGAAATTAGTCTGAGGATGCAAAATACTGATGTCGAAAACTGGACGATGAACATAATCAAAATTAGCATTTACAACGGTTATTCCAAGATCCAAAGAGCACAACTTTGTACAAATTCATTCACAGAGTCCTCTTATTGTTAGTATTAAGTCTCTTTAATCAGCATTTCATAACCATTCATTTTGAAAAGAGAAAATTTTATCCACCTACTTGGAGTGGTTGGCATTCTCAGATAGGTAGTAATGAATAAAAAGGAATCGGGTAGTATGATCGGAACGAGTAATACGATTAATTTCACCAACAGAACCGATTTGTGATATAATAAGTGAGTATGTGAAAATGAAAATAAGACCGTATATCATAAAAGGGAACACAAATAATGAGCTGAAATCAATCAGTATGCTTGAATAACCAGCAAGATACATGAATTATACAGCATGTCTGGGAATATTCAAAAAAACTTTATGAGTCGATAGTTGCAAAATTTCTGTGCAGATTTTAAACTAACAATAAGACGGCATTGCTGTTAGAGATATATGAAACAATAACAAAAGGGCTGGGAACGGTATTTTGATGAGTGAATAGAGTGGGAATTATTTCTGCAGGAAATAATCTCAGAAGATGTACATCATTTATATTCGTGACCACCACGTTTCTAAATATGGGTTAGCATTACTAGCCACCTAAAAGAGTGATCAAAACCTTGGTTGTTACCAGAATCAGGAATGAGGACGAGATCCCCCGGTCCTCTTTCGCAAAATTTGAGTTTTGGGCCCTGTTTCACGGGATACGTCGCCACCTTAGGTCACCCCCTCTGGTAGTGAACTGCTGCTAGCTTCGCTTCTCCATATACTTTGAATTTGTTTGCATGTTGATCTGCATTAGCAGGATAGGGATAGAAGTGAAAAAATAAGATAAATGCGTGTCATATTCTCATCAATTATTTGCCTATCGCTACATAAGTAGTACTGTTTCATATTTATGCTACAGTATTGCATATGTAACGGTAGGCGAATGCAAACATTATTCAGTCAATAAAGGGCAATGTTTTCTGTTTGCCAACCACACTAGATCAGTTGCAATGAGCTGTGTATAAACACCAAAAACCAAAAATTTTTTGTGCTTCTCACAAAATGAAATCACAGCAGCGTTCAGTAGCCGGAACTAAGACCTGCACAATAACTTCTTCCACATCGGGATTTCTCGGGTGCCGGAGGTGTTCGAACAAACGGGCAGGATGAATGATCCTTTCGTTTTTTAATTTCACCACACCGTATAACTCTCGCGGTTCCACAGTTTTTTAAAACAAAATGTACCCAACAGCGAAAATGATTACCGCACCCGTGTGTTTCTTAATATATCGAGATGAAATTGCATTGTTTGGAAGCATATTTCAAGGATAGATACGTGATTGATGGACCGTAATAAATGGAAGACGAAGCAACGGTGGTGGCAAAATACAGAGTAAGAGACACGACAAATTATGGAATTCTTCGCCACTTTGCGGAAAATGTAAGCCGAGATGGCGCTGCTATTTAATGATTCATTCGTCCTTCAGTGGTGAACAACAGATAGCACTGCGTGCAAATGAGCTGGAATTGATTAATGCGTCATTCGAGATGAGTGTATTGCCAAAATCCTACAAAATGCATTAGTCAAATCCCGAAATCCTGGAATTTTTCGAAACTGGAATCCTAGGATAGGGATTAGGATTCAAAAGTCGGGATCCCATGATCCCATGCAAACCCTACGTACGACCCCTATGTTGGCGCTTCCCTCAAACTTTTTATCCGATTGCTTTAGTTGCTCTATATATTGTTCTTCGCCGTGCTTTTACATGACAGATTGGTTTATTTGAGTACCACTATTCCCTGGTCGTTGCTGATGCATATCCAAAATGGCTTGTCTATAATCGTACTCGCTGGTATGACTTTTGAGCCCTTTTCGAAACTATAGTGGATCAACAACCTCACCTTTCCAACATCCAAAAGTTGCTTAGCTGCCTTCGAGGAAAAGCTGTCGATGCCACCCGCGGCTACCATCTACATGAGAACAATTATGAACCAGTCATTAAAATACTTCAGCTACAATTCGGTAATAAAAACACCGTCGGTCGTCGACTGCGCGACGAACTACGCCAGTTACGCAAAACAGAACACAACTCAACAGATCTCCTGCGTTGCCATAACCAAACAAGCCGAATCATACATCAAATGCAAATTACTGGCATCGACACAAACAGCGAGCATGCGATCTATGAACTCGAAAACCACCTCAGCATGACCACAGAGACACTCATGCATCATGAAAAACTCAAATACAACTCATACACTCCCAATGCCTTCCTCACCATTCTTCCGAATATAGCCCTCATGTTAGCTGACGTGGAACTCACCACACACTCCTCCCCACAGTTATTGTCTTTGCGCTATGTAAAATGCTTGTGAGGCTTGGATTGCCTGAAATGACGGTCCAACGCATGTTCTTATCCCTTACTACCGACCGAGCTATTCCCAGATTTGCCGAAGCAAGTTCCAATGAAAACCATGTTTCAAATTCTTCGAACATTCCTGTAGAACACTCGACACATGCGAAATCCAGAACTTTGTAATTCATGTTCGCTAACTGATATATTCTGGGGTTGTAAAATACGACAAACTATTTCTCTAATCAATTTGCAGTGTAGTCGTTGTCGAAAGGTATAACATATAAGCAATGCCTAATAACCTCTATGTTGCGAAAAATGTGCATTCTAAAAGAGGAGTTTGGTTTTCCATAAGTTAGATGCAGCGAAACCATTATTCGTGGATGTGTAATCAATTGCGCTGAAAATATGAGGAAATATTGTGCGAAGTCCATAATCTTATCAATACTCTTCAGATTCACGATAGTTCATATTATTATGAAAGTTTTTTTGCACCATCTTTGAGATCAGAGAAGAGTTGTACGTGTACGATGATAGCTATTTAATTTTACACGCGCATCAAATTGTATCGTCGTTGGTTTCTCTCCTATTGAATTACCACATGATGACGCTGCTGTTGTATGGTGAG